TAGGCTTTACTTTTTAGAGCAGTTTTAGGTTCACAGAAAAATTGAGCAGAAGGTGCAGAGATTTCCTAAATACTCTGTGCCCCCTTTTTATTCTTGAATCCATGTTTCTATTCCATTTCCCCCACAGAATTTTAACCTGATGTAATGTAGTTTATGCTTGAAAGTTTTTATTGTTACCTGGTCATACTTTTCTGTGCAAACAAGATATTAATTAAAATTGTAAAATAATAAATGTTCTTTGACCACAGGGTCTCAATATTAAAAAATTCTTCATTATTATTAGTATATATGTATATTAAAAACTTTAAAATAATTACTAAACATAAATAAAATTTTATTGAAAAGCCATTTCAATGAAATGAATGGAGCTTCTTCTTAATAGATTAGTTTCTGCATGCATGGATGAATATTACTTAGTGCTAGGAAGAGACAAGGTTCAGTACCAATTTGTTCCCTACTTTTTTTTTTAATAGATATAAATGCTGGGAAGCTTTATTCACATTAATAAGTAGATAAGAATAGAAGAAATTTTGTTACCACAGTGTCACACAATTCTTTGATCTTTCTCTAAATTATATACCAAAAAATATCACATACTAGTGTTTCATCAAAAATTATTCTTATAGTCCATCATCTAACAATTGATTAGGAGATCTTTCAATGTTGTTGATAAAAAGAATTGGAGACTACTTAACTTCCAAATTGTTAGAGTCCAACTGAATACCAAGATTTGGAGTTGTTTCTTGGTTTTATACCCCATAATAAAATGTGAGATGGGTGAGAGATGTACTCTGTCCTCAGAAAGTGAGAGGCAAATGATTGTGAAATGGGACACAAAGAGGAGAATGAGGTTGACAACAAATGTAGCTCAGTTGTCAGGCTTATTAATTTTATAAAAAAAAATACCTATGGAAGTTGAGGATTTACTGTTAGACAGATTAGCTAAATAATTAATAGTTGAGGAAACCATTACCTTAAAACTTACCTGCCTCCACTTGGAAAGTTTTTGTGTACCCCATGCTATGCATTACCCTAGTTTGGAGGTTATTGTTCACAAAACAGCAGATTGAGGAGTTGGCTGGATCCATCTGGAAAGTTACAATGAAGTTGGTCCCCAGTGGAAAGTACAACTAAGAAAAAAATGTGTCAGAAACCTTTTACTTGGTTTCACTACTATAGAGACAGGCAGTCTAGTCTAGAATCAGCCAATTTTTTTCTGCCAAGAAACACGAAAACTTCTCATGGATGGAAAGTCATCACCTGAGAAATTAAAAAAAAAAATATGTTCTTTGGCAGCACTTAGAGATGCCTGTTTTCACACCTGCATCTAGAACCACAGGCAGTTCCAATTTACTAGGTGGACTGAAGGGAAACTCACTTCACAGAAGTGGTGTTATGCTTAGATCACAAAAAATAATTCCTTGCATATTGTACATCATTTACAGCTGGTTCGGATTTATGTTTTTTCAATGAATGCAAGATGGGTTGGGGGATTTCCCTAAACACTTCTGGAAAATCTCAGATGCCTACAAAACAAGAGGCTGAAACATATGTGATACAACTGAATTCTCCTGGCATAAGAAAGTGAATGAGAGAGTCCTTCAAATGAAAAAAGTATAAATTAATTACCGTAAGTGCTTGTGACTTTCGTATATAAAAGAATCTAACTGTATGTGACTGTTGACAGGATTTGCTGAGGTTTTCCAGACTGAATTGTGTAGAAGCGGTTTATAAGCATGTTGCTATGATTAGGGTGTTTACTCCTATTATTTCTATTTAGTATATATAGTCCGTAGCTCCATGTAAGAATAACAGAGATTTATAGGAACTAGATATGTAATGCCAATGGTATGGAAAAATATCACAAATATATTAATAACAAAGTGTGTTGTTTTGAAACATGTTCTTAAATATTATTACTGATTTATACCACTCTTCTATATTCTTAATTCAAATAATTGTATAATAAATAGCTACTTAAGGAATTTCATTTTTCGGTTTTGCTTTGAAATTCAGGTGTTGATTTATGGGTTTTGTAGTGTTGTGGGAGAATGCTGCGGGTGGCAGTGGGGGTTGTAGGAAGGAAGAGAGGGTAAGGTGGCGTGGCAGAAAAATATAGTTTTATGAGTCAGAGAAACTTGGGTTTTAGCTCTACTAGAAACTAATTTGTCAAATGGCCTTGTTTATTTCACTCAGTTCTTACCTGTAAAATAAGTATAATAATACCTCCCTTAACAATCTCACCAGGATTATTATAAAAAGCTATAGAGATAGAATGTGGAGAAAGATTTTGAAAACTTCAAAGTATTATGCAAGTGAAAGCTGTCACAGAACAATAGGTTTTATGAACACTAGATTTGTTATAGGTTATTGCTCATGGTAATGGGGAATTTAATAAAAAACGGTGATGGACTGACTCTATCAGGCCTACCTCATTTTCCATGTCTGCAGCTGACCTTTCCCCAGAGCCGGGCCCCCCACTTCCTTACTCAGCCCTGCAAGCTCAGCCTTGTGATGTCGCCCAGCACCACCCCCACAGTGGTAAAGAAGGAGGCATTGAAGGATTGGTAGACCAGCTCTGGGGCGCCTCATTATGAAACTCCCTAGCAAATGCTCTGTAACAAATTTTTCTTTCCCCTGACAAAGGAAACCAATAGATTATGGATGATTGGTTTTCAGCTAAGTGGGCCAAAGTTTCTATATTTTTTTCCTATAAGACAAACTATAAATTTACACTGAGTGAGAATAAATAACATATGCCAAGCTTTTTTGTGTAGATTAAGGAGAAAACTGTTTCTTGGATCCCAACTAAAGCAAAATAAAGTAGTAATGGACTTTCACTGTGGACTCACAATCTCTCCCTAAGAAAAGCAGCAAAAAGAGGACTCATTCGAGCAAGCAGTCATCTGGTTATGAGGTTTTGAAAAACCCCAATACCATATACTGCCATTTGCTAAGAGCGCCTGCTGAACTTGGGGCCTGAGATCATCCATTTGATTCAAGATTCCTACCTTTAGGCTAAGAGCCGAAGGCACTGTGGGTAATATTCGAATGCTGCTTGGACAAGATTTTATAAAGTGAATAAAGGGTGTGTGAAATGCTTTATCTGGTGCCTGACTCTTGGTATCCTGGAATTTTTTTCTCATGTTGATTGAAGAAGTAGAAGTTTCATTTTGCCCTGAGAGAGGAGACATCTCCTTTATTAGCTAAACTTGATCAAGGTCTTAGCTTAGGAACTACCTGGTACGTTGGTGCAGAATTCCTCAACCTCAGCAGTACTGACATTTTGGGTCAGGGTATCCTGTGCATTGTAGGATATTTAGCATCATCCCTGGCCTCCACCCACTAAATGCCAATAGCACTCCCCACTCCTTCCCCCTCTAAGATGTGACAATGGAAATGGTCTCCAGACATTGCCAAATGTGCCCTGGGGTGGAAATCAGCTCTGGTTGAGAACCCTACCTTATCCCTCCATCAGCCTTGCTCTTACCATCACCTCTGTCTTCTTTCCTTTCCCCATCTATGTTCCCAGGACTGGAGCCCTGTACCTGAATTTCTTACCAGCGACCTAGTTTCAGGCTTACCTGTTGCCAATTGATGCTACTTTAGAAAGCACCTATTAACAGATTTTCATTAATTAATTAATATACCTGTTTATGTACCTACAGGCATTTATTGAGCACCTACTATGAACCAGGCACTGGGATCATGAGGATAAAGAGACTCATTACATTATAGGTGATGAAATAGAGCCATATACTCTCTCTGTCAATATACTACTGGGAGGCCGGGCGCAGTGGCTCACGCCTGTAATCCTAGCACTCTTGGAGGCCTAAGCGGGCGGAGTTCGAAACCAGCCTGAGCAAGAGCGAGACCCCGTCTCTACTAAAAATAGAAAGAAATTAATCAGACAACTAAAAATATATAGAAAAAATTAGCCAGGCATGGTGGTGCATGCCTGTAATCCCAGCTACTTGGGAGGCTGAGGCAGAAGGATCACTTGAGCCCAGGAGTTTGAGGTTGCTGTGAGCTAGACTGACGCCATGGCACTCACTCTAGCCGGGCAAAAGAATGAGACTCTGTCTCAAAAAAAAAAAAATATATATATATATATATAGATACTACTGGGTGGGAGAATGACTGTGTCTTTTTTGGGGACAATTTGCCAACAAATCCACCCAAGGTACCCTTACAGAAAACAGCCCAGAACAACTGATGAAGACTATGTAGTCAATATCTCTGCAATGTCCTCTGACTAAATGGAACAGAACAAAATGGAACAGAACTTCAGGAATGTGTCATTTTCTCAATTCCTGGAGCACTGATCTCTGCATGTAGTCTCTATTCTGCATAACCCTGAGTTCTAAATTCTGAGACTTCCCCCTGAGCTCACAGCCACCTGTCCAGAACCCCTAGGTTTTATATAGAAAATGACTGAAATGTCAGCTCTCTCTAATGAGAACCAGTCCCTCAACACCATCATCCTCTGGCATCAGAACTGCCTCCTCTGATCCCATTCTCCTGCTCAACTCCAGAATGCCGGAACCTCCTGAGAACTTATAATTGGATATAGATCCAAGAGACAGTCCAGTGGAAGACAGCCTTCCCAGCAACTCAAATATTTGAATAGAATTGCCAGACCTGCTATGGACAATTCATTCCAAATGTTAACATATCATGTCAATGGTAATCTCCCAGAAGTTAATAAACAAGAGATTTTATTTCCTACCGACCAAGAAGCAATAACCTAACATTCTGATAATGTAGTCCATTCTCCAGACCCCTACTGAGGCCAGGAGGTTTGTCCACTTTGAATCCGTATCCTGAGATACTTATTCTGCACCTCCTTCAAGCTGAAATGTAATTCAAAGAGAATACAGACCCATAGGCTGTACCAGTTGTGCCCTTTGTACAAACTCTTCTACTGTTTTATCACAGTGAGAGAGATGGAGATCGTTTTCCCTCATCTTCATCTGGAAAAATTCAAGTGAAATACAGACCCATAGCCTGCTGTCCGCGCCAGCTCAGACTCTTCCACCACTCTGTCGCGGCAGGGGGGACGGGGATCACTATCACAATCATCCTCATCTGAAAAGTCTCCACAGTCATTGTCCCCGTTACACAGAAGTCGCCTCTTTATGCATCTGCCTGCAGTCAAAATCAGGAAACACACAGTGTGTCTAATGCTAAATTTTCTCTCTTTCTTTCTGAAGTTATCAAATGTACTTTAATACTAGAGGTGAGGTACCAGAAAACCACATTTGAGTTTTTCGTACAGAATATATAGACGACCCTTGTTGGGGAGGTTTTCACACTTGGAAATCTGAGTGTCTAGAAGCACGTTTTTTCTTTTCAATCATCAGGGCACACAGAAACCTGAAATGAGCAGTTGGAGCACAAAGATTACCTGTACCGCATTTAAAGTCATTTCCACAGTCGTCCTCAATGTCGTCACAGGGCTCGGTGGGCACACACTGTCGTCTGTCTCCCACAGAGTCAATGCAGCTTTTCCCATTAAATTGTCCAAATGCCTCAATGGTCCTTGAGCGAAACTGTACAAAACCAGGTGGAAAGGTTAGAATATCTGATGCAAAAAAAAAAAAAAAAAAAAATGATGATCTCAAGCCTCAAGCTGCATCTACACCACTGCAGCCCTCTAAATCCAAATGAGTCAATGGTTTTAAGATAGAAGCATTAGAAGCAATTACGGATGTAACCTAAAGTAACACTTTGCATTCTAGATTTTTCATCTCTTATGCAGAAGTCCAGCTCTCATGACACTCATTTAATTTTCTGTGCACCATTCAGATTTCCTGGCAAAGTTAACCACATACATTTGTATGTTCCATCTCTGTTTCTGGGTTTGGAACTCAGTTTTGGGGACTCCTTGCCTCCTAGTCATTTCCCTGAAGATGCCAGCAGTGCAGTTTCCATCTGGGGAGGTTGGAGGAATGGAGATGAGTGCTTACCATTTGTTCGAGGCAGGGATCACATTGCGACCATTCACTCCAGGGGCTCATTTTGCAGTCTATGGGTGCTGGAGGGCCACTCCTTTCTATTGGCTCTTGGCCATAACTAAGAGAATAGAACACATCAATTTATAATGATCAATTTATAATGATTTATAATGATATTTGTCTGTTTCCAAGAAGTCTTCACAAACCAGTTTATTTACTACTTTACCTCCTTCCAAATCATACTATTAATACTTATCCTTTTACTGTATCTCTCATTTGACACTTGATTGCATGCTGCTTTGTGTTGTCAGGTCATCTTTTTGTTCAATTCTTATACTGTATTGTTATTTAACTTTTAATCTAACAACAATGACACAATAATGGTGACAAGGAAAACTAGCAAGGCATCCTGCCACATGTTTTACAGTGATTAATCTTATACTTCCAATTGGATTATGAACTCACTGAAGCTAGAAATCTCGTTTCATTTTCTTTATAGCCTCCCCACTCTCATCCCCCGAGAGTTTGGCAAAGCCTCGAGTTGCCTGGTTCTCGTGCAAATTTAAGCCAGCCAGCCTGGCCTTCCTGTAGCAAACACCTCATAAATCAGGCTTCCCTCTCTGGTATTCTGTATGTCCTAAACTGGATACGGTACTGCTTCACCGACCACTTCAGGACTTATTCCTGATCTTTCTGACTTTTAACATCATGTATTTTGGCACTTATGGCCTCCGCTCACACCCCTAGACCCAATGCTCAGAAGTGCTTTTCTAGCTTTGAACTTTTCTTTCTCTTTTGGTTCACCATTTGGATCTCTTCTGGTTGCAACACCACTTGGAGTAATTATCTCATTAAATAACAGGGAGGAAAAAAAAAAAACAAACACAAAAAAAACCAGATGCCACCAAACAAGAATTCTACAAACTCCCTGCCTCTATTTCTCTAACTTGAACCTATCCTTCTTGTAGTGAAGCCTCTTACACCAGAGGGAGGGCTAGGGAAGGCCAGTCTTGCCACAGAAGCCCTACATCCCAGCTCTTTTTGGGGTCTCTGATCAATTCAATATCTCCTCCATTTTCAACACTCCCTCACTACCAGCTCCTTTCCATTTGTAGTGTAATGTGCTCAAGTTTGTGACATTAAACATGAACAGGCCAATGCACGCACAAATACAACACCCTCCCGGACTTCACATTTTCTTGCAGATACTCCCATCTCCCTCCTATTCTTTACAATGGCATTTCTTAAAGGAATTGCTAGATCATTCAAAAAAAGATAAAAAAAGTCTCACCTCTTCCTTTAACCCTACATGCCCCTTTAGCTATCTCTAAATTCGCTCTTCTTTTTTGTAGCCAAATTTCTTGAAAACATAGTTTGTACCCTGTTCTCTTGTTCTTAGCTGCCCAATCACTTCTCAGCCCTCGCTCCCTATGAACACTGCTCTTGCCCAAGTCAAGGATGACTGCCACATGGCTCACTGGTCCCTTTCAGTCCTTGTCTTATTGACTTCTTCACAGAATTTGATGCAGTTGACCATTCTTGCTCTTTACAACACTCTCTTCCCTTGGACTGAATGACACTAGACTCTTTCACTTCTCTTTTTTTTTGCTGCATAGTACTCCTGCTCTTCTATGCAAGCTCCTCCTCTGATAGTCTTTTTTCCTCAAAGTCCTGCCCTTGGATCTCTCTCTTTTCTTTTCTACATTTTCCCAGAGTTTAGGTTTCCATGTTTATGCTAATGACATCTAGAGATAAATCTGCAGTCCATATATCTCTCTTGAATTTTAAACTTTTGGATACAGCTCCCAATTGGATATCTGCATTTGGATGTCTTCATGACCCATTGAACTCATTTTATCCCCAAATGAATTCATTATTGTTCTTCCTCTCTCAAAGCTGCCCCTCCCCTGTATTTATTGTCTTGGTAAATGGCACTTCCATTCATACAGCCATCCTGGCCAAAGACCTGGGCTCTCCTCATCTAATCCTACATCCCGTAGCCTCATCTCTGACATCTAATCGACCACTAAAATCAACCACTGTTTATAGTCCTGTAAGTGACTCTCAAATCCATCCATCCTTCTTCATCTCTTTCAGACATTTTTCTGTTCTACGCTAACATTACATTTCCCCTAGATGGCTACAAAAATTTAGTTCTAACCCAGTTTCCACAAGACATCCAGAGGGATCTTTTCAAAATGCAGATTTGACCTTACCATTCCCTTACTGAAAATCTTTCAGTAGCTTCCCATCACTCTTGTGATAAAGTCCAAATTTTCTAACATAGTATAATTGGCAGAATAAAGACTCCCAAAGATGTCGATGTTCTAATCCCTGGAATCTGTGCTACTTTGCAGATGTGATTAAGGGGGAGATAATCCTGTATTATCTGAGTGGGCCCACACATGAACCCTTAAAAGCAGAATAGTGGATCTGAGAGATGTGAATACAGAAGGAGAGGCAGGAGAAATTCAAAGCATGAAAAGGGATTCCACCTGCTCTTGCTGACTCTGCAGATGGAAGAAGGAGGCAGTGAGCTAAGAAATGCAGGCAGCTCTAGAATCCGGGAACAGCAAGGAAATGATTCTTCCCTAGAGCATCCATAAAGGAATCCAATCCTACTGGTATCTTGATTTTAACCCAATGAAACCCTTTTTGAGTTTCAGATGTCCAGAACTGTAAGATAATACATTTGTGTTTTAAGCCACTAAGCGTGTGGTCTTTTGTTACAGCTGCAGTAGGAAACTAATACACATTGCCTAGAGAGCTCTGTATGGCCTATTCGCTTCCTAATTTTCCAACTTCACTTTTTTCCCCCTAAGCTGTAGCCATGCTGAACTTTACATTTTCAAGACAAGCCACTTTTTTCCAAGTTTTCAGTCCTTTAACTATGCTATTCCCTATTCACCACACTGATCTCATTTTGGCTATCCATTTTTTTTTTTCAAAGAACCTTCCCTAACCTCCTAGTGTAACTTAGTTTTCCATGTACATACTCTTAGAGCATCTTGTTCTCATATTTCATTTAACTAATTTATTTGCACACTTATTCACTCATCAAATATTTATTAATTGCCTACTGTTGGCTAAGAATGGGGGACACAATGATGTTCAAAATAACAAAACAAAACAAAACACCATGGTCCGTGAACTCCCTGGAGTTTACATTCTACCTAAAAGTGCTAATGAGCTTGGGAACTTTTCTATCTTGTTCAGCTTGCATGCTAAGTACTTGGAAAGTAGTAGGTGCCCAGGAAGTGTTTTTTAATGAATAAGGGAATAACTAAATGAAAGAAGAGGAAGGAAGTCCTTGGTCATGTGGTTTGGGGCAGATCTAGGCCTATATTTCTCTAGGGTATGATCTCCTGGTCAACCACCCACATGGTTTTTGGGCAAGACTAGCTTGTCGTTAAGTCAGGCTTACCGACTGGAGACAGCATTTTTGTAAGCCCAATCCTTGCCTGCGTCATCCAGAATGTCAGGAGGCCTGGTGAGCTTCTATCTTCTAAAAGTACATTTAAAAGTGTATTATACAGGCCACCAAAACTCCTAGAGAACCTGCGTTTTTGGAAGTCTGGGTATCAGTGTATAGCTGAAACCACATGATGAGGAATTCTCTTGTAGAATGTTTCCGTAGAACTAAAGCCTTATCTGGAACTGACAGGCCTCATTAAGAGGCAATAGCAGATGCACCTTTATGCCCTGTAGCAGTGGCTCTCGATACTGAGTGCATATTGTAATCCTTAGATACTAAAAATAGGAATCATAAAATTGTGTTTCCATTCCACATTGATTAAGTCAAACTTCTTGAGGACCGGCACCAGGCATCAGTGGTTTGAAAAAGCTACCCAGGTGATTCTCATGTTCAAACCATATTGAAAAACACTGCTTGGCAACATGTGGTAGAAATCCACGAAATCTCCAATAGCTGTAGGGGTGGTCATTATGTCGTTACCCAAGACTGAGGCCATCATTGACCTTAAAATGTCACTAAGCGGGACTACCATTGGTTTCAAGAATTGCTCTAGGCTCTATTAACATCTCTGTGGATCTTTCCAATATCATCTGATGTCTTCAGTATCAGTACTGTCCCCTTGAACTAGATTATCTGTTCCTGCTTATCTCTTTTGTATTTACCACTTACTAGATGATCGTGTTAGCATTTTGTTTCAGCATTTCCCCAAGGCATATTACTTCCTTGGTTCCAGAAACCTTTATGTTCCTCACCTGCCACTCCAACTAGCTTCAGTGAATGCTGCTTCAGAGCATCCAGTACAGGCTGGAGGATCATGCGTGGAGAGAAAAACCCACTGCAAATATTCCAGAGTGGGTTACAGTCCTGTGTTGGCTAAATCTAGGATCTGCCCCACACCTCAGTGACTAGGCCCTGTTCCAGTGGCACTGGCATTGCCTATAGGTGTTTCTCTGGCATCCTCTGGAAAAATAATAGCCCCCTGTTGCCAGTATGCACACTTATTCACTTCCTCCTTAGCTTCTAACTTAAGGACTCTTTTTCTTTTTTAAAGGTATGACTCATACTTTGGACTTAGTAGAATTCATCAGATCTTTGCCTTTGATCTTTTATTGCCCTCTTGGACTGTGATTTGACTTCATTGCCTGAATGACCCAACCTGTCCTCATAGGAAGGTCCTGAAAGATTACACCCGGCCCTGGGAGCAGGATGAAACATCCATCTGGAGGTTATGCCCAGTGCATTGGCTTGCTAGGGCTGCCATAACAGAGTACTGAAGACTGGGTGGCTTAAACAACAGAAATTTATTTTTTCACACTTCTGAGGCCAGCAGTCTGAAATCAAAGTATGGCAGGATTGGCCCCTGAGGTCTCATGCCTTGGCTTATAGATGGCTGTCTTCTCCCTGTGTTGGCATGTGGTCTTTCCTCATGTCTGTGTCCAAATTTCCTCTTCTTATAAGGATACCAATCATATTGGATTAAGACCCACCCTAATGATCCCATTTTACCTGAATTGCCTCTTTAAAAACCCTAAATGCAAATACCGTCACATTAGCAGGTATTGGGAGTTAGGATTTATATATACGAGTTCTGGGGGGATATAGTTCAGCTCATAACACTCATAAATGTTTTTTGATTAAGCAAT